ATTTTCACATAAAAAGAAAACGTTTTTAATAAATGCAGTTTAGCTGGTCTATCAATTTTCTGTTTATTTACGATGCTAACATTATAGTGGACGAAAACACAGGCAGCGACAATCAAATGTATTTAAATACAAATTGACAGAATGTCTTAGTACAATCTGAGAATCATAAATGAGAAAGTCAATGAATCGTCTCAGATTTCATTGTCCCTTCATTTCTACATCAATTATTTACTGTAATCATTCTCTTCTCTTTGATCTTCTTAACCATCTGCCTCCAAACATTTCACTTTCGATTGATGATACATACTACTTATATCTGTCGACATCAGTAGCACACACTACACAACATGAATCCAAAATAATATATTAAGTTTAAATTATTAATTTCGTCAATAGTACTTTTTAGAATTTTGTTAAAGAAAAAGTTCCTATTATCATTAAGTGTGAGAGAGATTCATCAAACCATAGTATTTAATGATGAGTTACTAAAAACAAAAAGAAACATTTGTTTACTGATGAATACCTATGTGAATTTGATTGATTAGTAAACTAATTTTAGAGAAATTCACTTGGTATTGTTTGTTTGAATCTTCCGACTGTTGTTTAGAATTGCAATTGATCAGTCTCTTACTGGCATATGTGCATACTGATTCAATAATGCCTTAAGCCAGAAGCATTATAAGCAAAGATGGATGGTGACTAGCAGAGGAATTCAGGACATGCGTTTCGTTCTATTTGGAACTCGTCAGCTGGATGTACCTGCATCCCAAAGTTAATGTTCACCCTAGGACTCGAACTCAGTACTGTTCGCTCCAAACACCATCGCGTCATTTCCTTAGTTACTGGGTCCTGGTTTCGAGTCCCGGAGTGAACATCAACTCTGGGATGCAGGTACATCTAGCTGACGAAGCCCAAAGTAGAACAAAACGTGCGTCCTGGATTCCACATTGCTAACCACCATCCACCTTAGCTTATATTTTTAGAGAAGTTTTATAAAAACCAGTCCTGTTTTTCATTAAATGACTCTAGAAAATAAATATTTGAGTCATAGAAAGGGTGTCAGATTAAAAAAACAATGAAGTGATTGTCAAGTGTAATACGATTTTTAAAGCTTATTCTTTGGTCAATATCATTTCATGATGAAAATAAATTTTAGAATGAACAATCTAAACTATCTTAGTCTTAATTATGGACTCATTACAAACTAACTTCTACACAAAATTCTATGGTTCAGGTGAGAAATTGTGACTGGTGGAAGATATCACATGATAATGGTTGCGTGGTTTTTAATTAACCGAAGTTGGAAATGCCAATCACTGAATCTCAACAAAATGATCTTAAAGTATCATGTTCGAGGAGGTCTATGAGTTCGGTCACTGTAACGATCCTGAGCACATATTTCTAGAATGAAATAGCTGTCTAATGTTCTTCGATTTTCAGTACTTCTTCTGTAGATGACGTCAGATAGTAAGGAAAACCAACTTCAAACTAAAAGATTCTCATGAATGGAGGACAACATGGAAGATAGCTGACAGACTCGTTCGAAATAAAGACCGGTGTCAGGCAACGTTGCTTACTCCCACCCTTTCTCTTGCTCTTGGTGATAGACTGGATTATGGAGACGTCAACATCTGAGGGGAAGCACGGGGTACAGTGAACAGCTAGAATGCAGCTGGACGACCTAGACTCCGCAGATGACCTGACTCTTCTATCGCACACGCAATAACAAATCAAGAAGACGACCAGTGTAGCGGCAGTAGCAGGTCTCAACATACACAAAGAGAAAAGCAAGATTCTTCGACACAACACAGTGTGCAACAATCGAATCACACTGGACACAGAAGCTTTGGGAGATGTAAAAACATTTACATATTTTAGCAGCATCATTGGTGAACACAGTGGATCTGATGCAGATGTGAAGGCGCGGATCGGCAAAGCAAGAGCAGCATATTTGCAACTGAACATCTGAAACTCAAAACACCTGTCAACCAACACCAAGGTTAGAATTTTCAATACAAATGTCAAGACAGTTCTACTGTATGGGGCGGAAACCTGAAGATAAAAGTGTTTATTAACAACTGTCTACGCAAAATACTTCGGATAAGTTGGCCAGACACTATTAGTAGCAACCCATTGTGGGAGAGAACAAACCAGATCCCAGCGGAGGAAGAAATCAGGAAGAAGAGCTGGAAGTGCATAGGACACATATTGAGCAAAGCACCGAACTGCGTCACAAGGCAATCATTCACTTAGAATCCTCAAGGCCAAAGGAAAAGAGGAAGATCAAAGAATATATTATGCCGAGAAATGGAGACAGACATGATAAGAATGAACAACAATTGGATAGAACTAGAAAGGAAAACCCACGACAGAATGGGTTGTAGAATGCTGGTCGGCGGCCTATGCTCCACTGGGAGCAAAAGGCATCAGTAAAGTAATACACGGAACTCTGGCAACCTGTTAAAGATTGTTTACATGTAAGTAAAAGTGTAATTCAGTTCATGAAGAGCACAAATTTGGTTTATATCAAAGAATATTTCAAACAGCTTGTAAAAGAGAACATAATAAAAAAAAAGAAGTATTATGCAATAGACACCAAATTCTAGTATGAATCGTATTTGAAAATATCTCTAGTTATTGAGCATCAGAATATATAGACTTGTAGTTTAAAGATACCTTAATCTCATTTTACTTTGTACTAAGTATAATTAGTGAGAAAAACACTTGAATTAATCACAAGCATTCTTTACTAATATTTATTAGAGTATAATTGACTATGCTTCCATTTTAGTTCTTATTGGATAATTGAAAATGATTGTTATAAGACCCTAATAGAGTTATTCTTACTCTCTTATCATGTTGTTTAAGCTGCTAATGTAAAATTATTACACTTACATTGAATAAATCAATGAAGATATGAAAAGTGATCCCAATAGTCATTCTGAGTTGAAAGATAACCAATGATCAGAGCTATATAAAATTATTTCATTAAAAGGAACGAACCAATAAAAGTACATTTGTGATGTAGAACAATGCTAGAGAAATGACTGTGTAGTGTTGAGTATCATTTCAGTTTCACATAGATTATTCTTTCTTTAAGTACCTTTTTGCTTTGTTAATTATTTGCTTATTAACTTTGATTGTTTTTATAGGAGTGCATTGCTTATCCTACTTGTTTTTGTCCGATTATAAATATTGAGTCACGCTTAATTAAATCGAGTCGGCTGACTCGTCTTTGCTCCATTTCTTATTGTGATATATGAGTGCTTCATCCAACACAACGCACATTTGGCTTCACATTACCCCCGTCACATAAACAGGATTAGCCTAGGTAATATACGGGATTAAATGGAATATTTATGTTCATAGCACCCTCGTACGACCGAATTATAATCAGATACCGGGCTACAAAATTACTTTATTCACTAGCTTTTGTACTTTAAACTTTGGATAGGAATGATTCCGTTACATTTACCACGTATTTGAGTTTACATACTGTTATAACTCTGTTTTCTTACGGTTAATGACCCAGCTATTCCTATTGCTTAGTATTCTCGGACACCGATTCACTCGACAAGTCCCCAAATCAGAACACGGTTGAACAGGAAAAAGATTATATTCCAAATAGCAAATCAGAAGCCAGTAGGAAGCACAATAGGGGAAAACGTCGGTATATTTATAGTTTTTACATAAGATTCCAGAATATTCTCTGACTATCGACTAGTGCTGATTGGATAAGAATCAGCCAATCAGCGTGCACCAAAGCAATCATGCATTGAGCATGCTTTAATCTAGTCTATGTCCCGCTAACACATACCAATCTAGGTTTGTTGAAGGTACTTGGTTTACTAAAGCTAAACCAACAAAGTAATGTTGTAGCTAGGTCGGTATAGAGTGACAAATGAAAATGGTATGTTGATTGTGAGTCACCAGTGAGTTAGCAGGCTGGAATATGCACCACACATGTCCAATAATCGTAAACGGCAATATCCGGGATATCTGTGACCCCTGACTAAACTCAGAATCAATGAAAAATTATTTGCAACAGACTGCTTCTGACAATTACTTTTAAAATCCTATTATCTTCAGAAACAGAGCATCAACTCCAAAACTAACAATGGAGAGTGATATAGTTAAGCACATCGACCAAGTTATTTGTCTTGAAAGTCTTATCGATCCTGGTGAATTATCGTTTAGCGAAATCTTAGCACAGATTTAGAATACTCAACTGGCTTTAGTGTCTTCAGACCATTGCTCGTATACATTAGGACCACCGAGTGAGTAGTTATAGTCTTAGACGTAGGATATCAGTTAATGACTCCATGTGAGACAGGCAATTTGTGAATCCTCATCCACTGAAACGGCTGGTATGTGACTTATAACCAATCACACCTTACCTCAACATACAATCCTGACTGGCTTAGTACTCTGAAATAAGTACAGTCACCATACTGAAGTTACTGACTGATTTGAGCAGTGTTGGTAAGTTCAAACTATGTGATTGAAGTTCATGCAAAACTCTAGTTAATAGAAGAAATAGGATAAAGTAATTTAAAATACGTAATAATGATCCAGATACATCCACACTTTTTGTGTGTCCATCATATAGACCTTAAATTTCAACTTTATATCCTATTAAATATTCTTCTTTTCTATAATCATAATCTGTTTTCCCATTATCTTTTTCTATCATTGATAGAACTACTATTTTTATGATTCAACTTTATAATTTGATCTCACTGTATTACTTATTATAATATAGAATTCTCAATACAAATTATTTCAATAAGTTATACTTTACTTATTTCTTGAACGATCCTGACAATAACATATTGAATAATCATCAGATACTCAACATCCATTGGCCGGATACCATCAGCAACAGCCTACTGTGAGAGAGAACAAACCAATTTCCAGTTGAAGAGGAAATTAGGAAATGACGATGAAAATAGATAAGACATACATTACGCAAATCGTCAAACTGCATCACGAGGCAAGCTCTAACTTGGAATCCTGAAGGGAAGCGGAAAAGAGGAAGGCCAAAGAACACATTACGTCGGATAATAGAAGCAGATATGAAAGGGATGAATAACAACTAGAAGGAGCTAGAAAGGATTGTCCAGGACAGGGTTAGATGGAGAATGCTGATGAGCGGCCTATGCTCATTCACGAGGAGTAACAGGCGTAAGTAAGTAAGTAAGTGGATATTGAGATTTCAAAAGTCAACATTTGAATAATATACACTCTTTTCAATACATATTATCAACCATCATAATGTCTCCGATTATAAGTTTCTATAATTTTTATAACGAAAGGTTGTAAACTATTCATAAACCCATTTGAATAGATTATGCAATTAATTAACATAATAATGTATGAAAACAAACAAACAAACAAACAAACAAAATATCTAGATACATAACAGGAACAAGTAGCCTAGATATTCATCAAACAGATCATCCTTTAAAAAAATTTTTTTATTATTTAAATCATGAATAATGCTGTTTTATAGAGACGGGGGAGAAAAAAGAGGAAGAAAAATTAGAATGGGGGGGGAAATACTCACTAAAATTTTACGCTCTTATAAACTAGTCTGATAAGTGAAGGAAATTGTTTCTATTCTGTTTATTTATTAATTTTTAAGCTTTTGCAAAACATAACTCATCAAGATGAATAGTTTCAATCATCATAATAATAATAATAAACATTGAATTACTTGTGGAATAAGATGAAAGAAGACAAGAAAGAAAGAAAAGAAAAAAACAAGTACAATTTGAAGAGAAGTGAATATAACGAAATCAATAAAGATGATAATAATGATCAACTAGCAAGAATAACAAAATTGATAATAATCAATGAATGATACTACTGATTCATTTGGATTGATAAAAATTGAATGAAACCAAGTAAACATTTTTCTTGTGAAAACAAACAAACAAACAACCTTTAATCTGAATTAGAAGAGAAAAAAAACAAGCTTTTAAGAAATCAATTTAGTTCTCAAGTGATTGACTGTATATATGTATTACATACAAACACACACACACACATACACCCATACATTATTCACTTCCATTTAATTAATTAATTAATTATGTCTACAATCAATTAAAACATTCAGTAACCGAAACCATAAAAGGCAATTATTAACAGGAACGATAAATATTCAATGGATAGTATGTTTAGATGATCTAGAACAAAGAATACACACACACACATCATAAAGATTATTGTGTACATGGTATACAAGTACATCATTTTCTATGCATATATAATTTATTTATAATTATGAAAAGGATAAATAACAACTGGAAGGAACTGCAAAAGATTGCCCAGGACAGGGTTGGATGGAGAATGCTAGTAACTGGCCTATACTCCTTCACGAGGAGTAACAGGCGTAATTAAGTATGAAACAAATGAGGTAAAATGAAATTACAATTTTATTATCTAATTGTATAATGTCAAAAGATGAATAAGAGAATAAATGAGTAGATGAATTGGACTAATGAAAGACATATCGGTCATATCGAAGTAAACTACGCCTGATAAAATATACACGTTTATATATATATATATATAAAGAGAGAGAGAGAGGGAGAGAGCTGAAATCGATGAACAGCGGTACACAAAAAAGGAAACAAATCAACAGGTAACAAACAAACAAAAAAGAATTTCAACTAGTAAAAGAAAATAGAAGAACTAATAAAAGTTAGATAACATAGACTCAAGAAATACCATTAATATTGGTAAAAATAATATACTGAATAAACAAAATACATAAGTACATGTTTTTAAATTAATAATAGTTTTTAATAAACTAACATTATTCTTATTATTATTATTTATATTAATAATACCATGGGATAATTTACCAACAATTGAATAGGTTGGACCATGATGCCATTTTACAAGACGATCTACACTTACACTAACTAAATCAAATGAATCTGATTTTAATGGAAAACGAGATATAGATTTTTTAGATGTTCTATCTAATACACATGAATCTTCTCGTAAGAAAGTTAAAGCAGTAACAAATATTGGATGAGCATTATTTAATGTATAAATATTGACTAAACAATGATTTGATGGTGATAAACTAAATTAGCATATAAAGTTTAAAAGAAAAAAAAAAGAAATACAATTATTAACTTGTCATTTTTATCATTAAAATTAAGAAAATGCAATGGAAAAGATTTATGCAAAATATTATGGTCAATCAGCGATTTACATCTTTAGTGTTATATCAAAATGTTTGGAGAGCAAGTTGTTGCTTTAGGACTGGTCTGTGTCAACACCTCAACTAACGATAGGGAGTAAAGTAGTCGAATGCGTCGACAACTTCACTTATCTCGGAAGTCTAATCAGCCTTAATCGGTTTATGTCTGAAGAAATCTCTGCACGGATTCGAAAAGCTCGTTTGGCTTTTGCCAATTTATGTCACCTATGTCGAAGGCGTGATATCCGTCTATCAATAAAAGGACAAGTATACTACGCAGCAGTTCTTTCGGTTCTACTTTACGGCTGTGAAACGTGACCATTAACAGTAGAGGATACTTGAAAGTTACCAGTAGTTATTTATTTTATTTTAACACATATATATTGGTACAAGGGGGCACTAAATACATAAGCGCCATATAAATCTCATTTGATATGTGTGAGGGCTGTGATACTGCTCGCGTGCCCAGACCGAAGCAGATGATTTACTTAGGCGGTCACACCCGGAGCCTTCGACCTGAAGGTCTGATCCACAAGGCAGTGGAGCATCGTAAGGAGATGCACTTTCATGGTAGCCGGTAATCAACAATAGGTTCATACGCCAATTGTTTTCTTAGGATCCTGAAATTCATGTGCTCCATTGGCTTGGAACCAGGGTTTTTAACTTTCCTAAGTGGATCCACCGTACCCACAAATCCGAGTTAAACTACAGGATATTCGCTTTTCGTCCTCTCAATTTCATAAAAAACACCCTCGCCGCGAGAAGGCAGTGATTGTATGCATGTGACCATGTGAGAGGATTTCGAGAGGGAGAGCTGACTTTCCCCACTATCGGCCGTACCAGGGCATTTAGGGGCTCTGCTTTTATAGACTATAACAGTTTTACTTCTCTGCAAAAGAGTAGTTCATATATGAAAAACGAGTACCTTTCATAATAGAAATAAAGATATTCACAAAATTATAATTTATTACTTGTTATATCGGTCTTACAATTAACCTTTTAAGTGGATTATTGAATTCCTAATCAAGATGCCTACACTGAAGATTATCAATGTTAATCCTGATATGGACGATGGATGATAATAACGGAACACCTAGTTATTATATTAAAGAGAGTAAGAATTAATAACATCATTACGTTTCTTAGTTCATTTCGATTGCCTTCTAGATCAGTAATCTTATTCTAATCAAATGAACTTTACTCATTTTATTCTTACTTATTATCAGAGTTTATTCATTAGGTAACTAACCATTTGTTTCTAAACCCTTTAAACTCTTGTTATAATCAATGTTGTAGAATGTTCTTTTACACAAGGTAAATATTAACAATTTTATTCAGTCTATTAAATTTGTTTATATCCTTGCTATAACTATGCTGATATGTAAGTAATTTAAATTCATTTTGTAGTTAGGCTTTTAAATATCACAGGTTATAAGCAGTTGATGAGAACCAAACGAAATAGAATGTTTGTTCTTGTTATCATTATGATGATAAGGAGGACAACTATGTGTATGAAACTTAGTTATTAGACAACATAGAATTGGTATCCATAGAAGATTGTCGTTCTTCTTGAATAGTTAGTTTTATGAACCGATCTTATAGAAGGTGAATTCGAGAAACTAGTAGATCAATGAAATATATTCATGTTGTTATAATACCATCATCTATAACCAATGTAGGAGGAAACCTTATGATATAAACTCGATGATTATTCCATGAAAAAGGAAAGTGTAGAATCTGTTCACGAAGGAAACACTTTCTCAAGAAAGGGAGGAGAAATAGGTGACACTGCCAACCATTTGAATGTGCCATCAATTGTTGTCTGTATAGACTGTGGCAAATTCATCATTAGAATAAAACTTCAGTTAAGTTTCGTTTTTTCTTTCAAATATTTCAAACAATACTCCAAACAATAAAATTATTGATGGAGTGTTGTTACATCAATTCTAACTGGCCCAATGAAAGATATCAGTCATTAGTATTGTACGGAACTCGCATAAGTTTATTGATTTACATAAACTGTAAATATAACCAATATAATAAAATTTAAGTAGTAAACTTACAAATACACATCAACACGTCCTTCCATAGTGCCCACACCAATTAAGCCTCGTGATCGACTTGGATGAACAGCTAGACAAGCAGGTAAATGTCCCTGAGGAAGAGTAATTTCTGCAAAAGTGTTGAGTTGAATTGGTTGATGCATTTTTATATTATTTGACGATAACGATTCAAAGGTTGTCGCCTCAGAAGGATGCGGTACTGACCATACAACTAAACGACTAAAACTCCGACGATTTGCACACAAAGGCTGAATCGTAGTAACAAGCATAGATTCAACAGTATAAATTTCACTGGTCTTTAAACCTTCAGAGGAAGATAAAGATTGATTCGATGAAATTGGAGATTTGTGAGAATATTTCATAAACTGACAATGTCTGAAGCGATAATTAGAACGATCCGAAGAACGTTCTGATGTCTACAATTTACAAAATGATAAAAACACTTAGCAGTTTAGTAAAGTAGAAAATAACTACAAAGATGCCTATTAGATTATATAATAATGATAAGATCACTATAACATATCAATGGTTATAAATGAAAATAGTTCACAAAAATCCTATGCATATATTTACTCAAATTATTTAATTATTCCAATAATTTTAATATTTGAATTCATCAGTCGACCTAAGCTAGACAACCTGGAGGCACTGGACGGCTGTTATGTCCTAGTATGGAACTCCTTAGTAGTGCGCACCCACGACCCCGCACACGAACGCTTAACCTCTAGACTACTGAGTCTGTATGGAACGGTGTCAATGCCTAATTTCGATTGATCCATGATCTTGCACAACCCTTCATTTTGGAGTTCTAATGAGAAGCCGTGACCAGTGGAGTCCAATCGGCAATGGGTGGAGACAGTTATCCACACAACAGATGAAGGGTTGCTTAAGATCATGAATTGATTGAAGTTAAGCATTATCACCGTTGGATGCCGGCTCAGTGATCACGAGGTTAGGTGTTCGCACTCGAGACCGAATACACTGGGTTCGAGTCACGAGTGAGGGATCGCGCACACTGCTACGGAGTCCCATACTAGGACAAAACAGCCGTCCAGTGCCTCCAGGTTTTAAATAGTGGTCTAGCTTGGATCGACTCAGAACAACTACTAAAATTACTACAATTTCCACAAATCTCAATTCTGATAACATTCTAATGATGGCTAAACTTACAAAAAACGGTAAAAACATAATTTGATTGTACAATGGCGTCTGTTGTTTAAATAGTTCACCAAATAATCGTTATATTTTGGAATACTTTGAGGTGATTCTGAATTCGGAATGATTTTAAGATTTCTCTACTACAAAACGAGATTTACGCTAACCAGATAAACAGGAAGATTGACACATAACAACTTCAACAAGAATTTACACGTTAATGAGAGGAGAGTTAAAAACTGAGAAAAAGTTTAATATTCAAGAAATTGAAATTGTAATAAAACAAGTGTTTGTATAGCTAAAAGAACGATTTAAAGAAATATAAAATTGGCAAAATCAAAGCGATAACGACCATTTAGATGAGAAAAGCGTCCGTGTAGAAATTTAAACAGAAACAAATCTCAATAGTTGAAATCATGAGTCAATTGAAGCTAGACCACCATGGGAGACTTAAGACCACTGGACGGCCGTTTCGTTCCAGTATGGGACTCCTCAGCAGTGCGCATCCATGATCTCGCCCCCAGCGAGATTCGAACCCAAGACCTGTCAGCCGTGACCAGTGGAGTTCAGCTAGGTCTGTTGTGAGATATCAGCTTACTGAAGACAATGGTGTACGGTGGCGCAATTTCGTGAATTGGTTGAAGTTAGATATTAACACCGTTGGATGCCGGTTCAGTGGTCTAGAGGTTAAGTGTCCGCGCACGAGACTGGTAGGTCATGAGTTCGAATCTCGCGGGGGGCGGGATCGTGGATGCGCACTGGTGAGAAGTCCCATACTACGACGAAACAGCCGTTCAGTGCTTCCAGGTTTTCCATGGTGGGCTAGCTTCAATTGACTCATGATTTCAACTATTGAAATTACTAAACTCCACAAAACCCCTTCCGATAAAAAAATTTACTGAGGATTTCCTCACACATTAGAAATATCAATTATTTGTAAGATTAGATAATTTGAGGTCATCTTATCAATAATATTACCAGAGAAATCGGATATCTATGATTACTGGTTATATGAATGGTACAGTAAAGAGTAAGAAAGCAACATAAAACCACTGTTTTGGCATAATTAATTGTCAAAATGAAGCAACATGTTTATAATTTAGTGATAAGTACGGTCGTTATACATGCATATGCTATGAACTATAAGGTAATCGTATTCTAGAAGTATGGGTTAAGATACTAGAATATGCATTTTTGAGAAATTTGAAATTAGATCATACATTAACGTAGTAATCCTGGAAATACACCTTTATGATGGGATAATACCGGGTTGTTCAACCTGAAGTAGAACTTAATTATAACCTGAAACCTAACGGTTGGTAACCAAGTGCTCTAACCATCAAGTCACTACCACACATCAAAGTAATTGCAAAGTAGAAGGTATCCTCTGGAACTGCAGTTCGGATAATTATTACTATGTTCCAGTATAAATTGTTTAAATTGTCTGTTACAAACCTCACCTAATAAATCACCAAGACGAAGTCATAGTAGACAACTGGGCTGGAACAATGAATTACCACCTATTACGTAAGAATAAACTATATTCCTTAACTATCCGTTCACTGATTGACAAATGGGACTCGATTCTGTGGTTTGGTGTTTCAATGTAGTTTGTGACAGCTTCATATTATTCACCTAAAACACTTTACTATATACACCTAGAGTAGTTCAAGCAAGTATACGGCCTAACACACATTTGACTACTAAACATGTCAAGTTTAGTCCTATTATTTATTTTATACTTATTCCCATAATTAACTATTGACTTTTATCCATTTTTGTGTGTTACAATTTGTCGGCTGTATCCATCAACCACTTGTAACATATGAGCACATTCAATAATTTATACTACAATTGATTACTACTTCAATCAATCCATAAAACACAAAGACTGACCTCTATACCGATCCACATCAGACACATTTCATACTTTCTACAATCTCTGTGGTCTATTGAATCAATTTGAAACATATCTATTACCAAAATATTGAGTATCTGACTTTTAATATCAGGCCGTCAAGTTAATCTGACTTGACAACGGGATTACCATAGAAGACATATGAAATTAACCGAGGCCTAAAATAAATAAAGTCAAGTTATGCAATAGGTTCTTATATCAGTGGCTAATTAATATTGTTACTTAGTTACCTAAGCACGAAATTTTTAATGATCTGACTACAAGTTTGAACTACAGTTCAAATTATATTACATATGATCAATTAAAGTAAAGTGAAAAATAAAATAACACAGATTTGTTATCATCACTACTTACTACTTTATTCGATGTAGATACAAGATTCGGTGAAGGTGGTGGTGTAGTTCCATAAGATGACAAAGAACTGCAAGAAGCAATTGCATATGGATATTTTTCCATTGATTGACTGAATAAAATATCATCTTGAATTTTAAATGAATTATCATTGTCTGAATTTGATAGGAAAGTTTTCATTCGAATACCTCTTTCATTACTAGGATTTCTTTTTGAAGTGTTAGTTTTTAATTTAACCAGTTGTTGACGAGAATTCAGTGTTGAATGTATTGATTTAATATCATTTAAAAATAGAAATGATTTTGATTGGAGACTAACATTAGTACACCATACTCTTAATGTACTCCAATCAGGTCTATCGCATATTGTAGCCAATAGGGGATATGAAGTAGAATCATCCTGTTTAGATGCATATGCATGTGAAAAAGCCATACTGCAAACACCGGTTGACAAGCCACCACTAACATCTGGATATACAATCAGTGACTACAAAGAAAGGAAGACATTAATAATAATAATAATAATAATAATAATAATAATAATAATAATAATAATAATAATAATAATAATAATAATAATAATAATAATAATAATAATAATAATAATAATAATAATAATAATAATAATAATAATAATAATAATAATAATAATAATAATAATAATAATAATAATAATAATAATAATAATAATATAATAATAATAAAATAATAATAATAAAAATAATAATAATAAAATAATAATAATAATAATAATAATATAATAATAATATAATAATAATAATAATAATAATAATAATAATAATAATAATAATAATAATAATAATAATAATAATAATAATAATAATAATAATAATAATAATAATAATAATAATAATAATAATAATAATAATAATAATAATAATAATAATAATAATAATAATAATAATAATAATAATAATAATAATAATAATAATAATAATAATAATAATAATAATAATAATAATAATAATAATAATAATAATAATAATAATAATAATAATAATAATAATAATAATAATAATAATAATAATAATAATAATAATAATAATAATAATAATAATAATAATAATAATAATAATAATAATAATAATAATAATAATAATAATAATAATAATAATAATAATAATAATAATAATAATAATAATAATAATAATAATAATAATAATAATAATAATAATAATAATAATAATAATAATAATAATAATAATAATAATAATAATAATAATAATAATAATAATAATAATAATAATAATAACAATAATAATAATAATAATAATAATAATAATAATAATAATAATAATAATAATAATAATAATAATAATAATAATAATAATAATAATAATAATAATAATAATAATAATAATAATAATAGTAATAATAATAATAATAATAATAATAATAATAATAATAATAATAATAATAATAATAATAATAATAATAATAATAATAATAATAATAATAATAATAATAATAATAATAATAATAATAATAATAATAATAATAATAATAATAATAATAATAATAATAATAATAATAATAATAATAATAATAATAATAATAATAATAATAATAATAATAATAATAATAATAATAATAATAATAATAATAATAATAATAATAATAATAATAATAATAATAATAATAATAATAATAATAATAATAATAATAATAATAATAATAATAATAATAATAATAATAATAATAATAATAATAATAATAATAATAATAAACATTTTCATGATAACAAGTTTATCACTAGCACCAGTAACCATATCACTGATTTAAAATCACATACGTAATTTAATGATAACTTTTATGCCGCAGTGAAGAGATAGCTCACTTAACGCTTAAACAACAGGTTAAAAACCTGCCCCATCCACTTTGGTTTGGAGAATTGGATAATAAAATGAGAAATAAACACTGAGGCTTAAAGCCGAGTGCGTATGCTTGCACCTGACACATTGATTGGTCAATGAGTAGTGGCCAAAGTCGTGTTTGTTTAGTTCTTAGCGCTGGTAAAATTATATCGATTGAATTGCAGTACAGCAGCTGGCGTAAGTGACTCAACATCGTGAGCACTATATTTAGATGTTAAGTGGTACTAAGTAGTCGGCAAAAAACCCCGAGTTTTACTCAGCTAGTTTATACTTCTAGGTATTATATAAACCATGGTATAAATTTTTGATTCCGAAAAAACCTGTTTCTAAGTTACTTTTTTCTAGAAAATTGCTATATTGTTTCCAGATTGTAATTATCTGAGGAGAGTTCGTGATAAAATGAATGTTATTCTGCTGCAATCTGTTCTTTACTTACTGGAATTTAAAAATGGAAAGAACTGAAGGAAATTCTTCACTAACTGTCGACAAAAAGTTGTACAACGTTAAATGCTTTTCCCATTTATCGACTTTTCAATATATATATAGAACAGCAAAAATCAATTGGAATAAGATTAGCAATGAAATCCGAGACACGCGATTCGTCTTACTTTGGGGACTTGTCAGCTGGATATACCTGCATCCCAAAGTTGATGTTCTATCCGGGACTCGAAACCAGGACTCAGTAGCTAAGGAGATGACGCGATGGTGTTTGAAGCGAACGGTACTGGGTTCGAATCCCGTTGCGAACATTCACTCCGATGCAGGCACATCCAAATGCGCGTCCTGGGTTCCATTGCTAGCTATATTCCATCTATTCTAAATTAATGCGTGTACAATTTACAATGCAAAATATAGAATGAATACACGCTGGATTTTATCAATCACGTCATTTCTGTATATTTAAAAGAAACAAAATTAATTGAACGAAACATTTGTTGATCGATTATACTTTGTATTACCGAAAAAATCCTGTTATATTAACTAGAGCTTTAAGAGCAGAAGTGTAAAGAAGCATCAAAATATCAAAACTGTCAGACATACAACAAACCTGATACGGACTATCACCTAGTTGTTTTTCGTCAAGAAAACGTTGTTGAACATGACGATTGATAAGAAAGACAGATCCACTATCAGAACCAATAGCTAACCAAGTACCAGCAGGTCCACCATGTGTTACACATGTAGGCATTCCCGACAAACTTTTCGGTGCAGATCCCGATGGTGATTCAGAGCCAGAATCATCAGCTGAACAAGAAATCTGTTCCATGAGTGTGTATTCACGAACTTTGGTTAATTCCCATTCTAAAGGCACTGGTTCACATACACTATTTTTTTTGTCTTTCTTATCAGAGTCCTGCGTTGAGGTAGACATCTTATTCAATTTAGAATCTTTGTCATCCTTCCAATGCCTTCCTAAACCAGATATTTACAGAATACACCATAGTAATTATTAAGTAAAATGTCTAAAGATATGAGAATAAAGGAAAGCATGAGTGAATAAAATCAGGTAACATGAACGGGTTCAATACATATGAATGTATTTTTGTGAACATTTTAAACAGGGCCAAGATCCTATAGTAGCTTGTTAAGAACATACAGACTGGACAAAAGTGTATTTTCACTATAAAGACCATATAAAATTTGTAATTCTGTTGTGTTACTTGCTTGGGATTAAGTTGAGTTAAACAAACTTGGCTGGACAACTTATGTCCGATGTTTTATAAAACAGGTATACAAATAAATGCTAATTAAAATCGAGCATAATAATGCGAACTAGTCTAAGACGTCACAACAGTGAATCGACGAATCCCACTCAACTGATTGCTTAACGATGATCCGTAGAGCCGCGATTTGGTCTGTGCACGACCGATCCTTACGAAATCCGGCCTGTTGATCTCATAACGACGCATAGGTTTTTCGTAATGACAACTCGGAAAAATGTAAAAGCGAAACAGTCATACAGTTACAAACAAAGTAGCATTTGGCACATATTTGCATCAATCTGTTACCGCACCATATCAGAACAGTTTATTTCTTTGAACACATAAACGTTGGGACAAGGGGGCACCAAATACATATGTGCAACACAATAACAATGAGGTTGCGAAGAGGAGAGAATGAAGGGTGAGTATAATAAAAAGAACAATAATGAAAAGGGATTAGTGTATGAGTGAAATAATAGTAATAACAAGAACAATAATAATAATGATAACCATTGTTGCTACCTTGACGTGGTGGTCGGGCTTGCCTATCGTGATAAAGCAACCGAGCTATACTGGCTGGAACAACTGTTTCTCAAGGTCCTACCATATCAGACAGGTCGGTTGAAGAGCGGAAAGACTAAAAGCAACAAACCCAAGGTCCGAAGGCGAAGTCGTATTACTCACTGTACAGAGGTGTGAAAGCAGTAAGGTGTTTCCTTCAGACAACCAGCATGACAGCGATGCTGCCTTCCCACAAGGAGGGGTGGGGTTAGGAAAGGTCGACCCTAAAAATGCACACCTCGCCTTATCCCACGGATATCCGTCTCTGGCGGTAAGGTCCCAAAAAGTACGGAGCTGACACGAAAATTACCCATAAAAAGGTCGTGTGTGACCGACCTCAAGCAGTTGTCCGTTGCGCACTGCGGTCACGCTCCCAGGTCACTAAGACTACCTCTAATCCAATTTCCTTTACAGGTACCTCCAGAAGAACCCTTCCACGGTGTGGGTAACCGAGAAGTGATAACCGCCCTCATACCTCTAACAGCACTCAAAACCACTGTATTCCTAATCAACCTCCATCTTCACTTTCTGTTATTCCTCCTACATCGACTTTCACCTCCAAACGTCCTTTATCGGCTTCCTCCTCAAATGTCACCATAGCCAACGATTATAGTGCTCAAAACCCTGTCCCAGGTCTATTGAAATCTCGCTCCAAACTACACATTGGAGCCTTCAACGTACGCACCCTATGTCAAATCGGTCAACAGGCTTCCTTGGCTAGAACCCTAGAATCTCGTACATCAGAAGTACATAAACCTTGTGAAGGCTCTTTACTCGAACACTACTATTGGAGTCATAGCTTATGGCGAACTGTCATCAGATTTTGCAACCTCACGTGATGTCCAGCAAGACTGTCCAATATCTCCATTTTTGTTTAGTTTTATCATAGATTTACTACTGGGAATAACCTCGTCGTCTGAATTTTCGGGCATTTATCTCCCATCAGGAGGTCCACTTATCGACTTAGAATACGCAGATGATAGTCCTGTTTGGTGAAGACGCTGATAAAATCCAGTCTTTTATTAGCACGCGGAAACAATGGCAGGATGTTTGGGATGCGCTTCTCCCCCCCCCCTCTAAATGCAAGTTGTTGCTTCAGGACTGGTCTGCGTCAACACCTGAACTAAGGATAGGGAGTGAAGTAGTCGAACGCGTCGACAACTTCACTTATCTTGGAAGTCTAATCAGCCTTAATCGGTTGATGTCTGACGAAATCTCTGCACGGATTCGAAAAGCTCGTTTGGCTTTTGCCAACTTACGTCACCTATGGCGAAGGCGAGATATCCGTCTATCATTTAAAGAACGAGTATACTGCTCAGCAGTTCGTTCTGTTCAACTTTACGGCTGCGAAACGTGGCCATTAAGAGTAGAAGATACTCGTGAGTTACTAGTATTTGATCACAGATGTCTTAGAAATATTGCTCGCATCTGCTGGGATTATGCAGTATTTGTAAGAACTAATGATTCTTTCGTACTTGATTACCCGCTTATTACGAATTCCAAAGAAAATACGTTCATTTAGTTCTACTTGCTGTAAACTGCACTATTTTGGTTCCTAGCTAGTACAATAATCCGACTACTTCTGATCATCATATATAACCAGGTAAGTAATAGTAGGTTAGATACAGGGTATTACTGAATAATGGTATATCAGTTGATGAGGTTGCGAATCTATATCGACTCAGGTGGTTGGGCCACGTGTTACATATTCCTGAACACCGATTACCACGATGAGCAATGCTGACTAGTGTTGGGGATGGTTGGAAGAAGGTTAGGGGTGGCCAAACCAAAACGTGGCATCACTCATTGCAGTCACTAACTTCTAGTCAGCCATGTTGGTAGATGCAGACTACTTGGTTGGGGTCCGTGTGGCTATCGTAACAAATGGTTGGAGACTCTTAGTGATCACAATGGTATATGTGTATACACTCTTTGTCTTCCCTCAAACTATGAGATTAAAATCGCTTCATTTCTTTCTTCCTACGAACTAATTCTTTCTTCCTGTACTATATCCTTATCTGCAATCTTTCTTTTATATATTACCACCATTGACTTAACTGCTTCTATGAATCCTGTGTTCATCTTGCTATGCTAATGTGGTATGGCAACTTGAACCGATGCATATATGTGCCTGGTCCTACGTTGTGGATGACTGATTGGCCTAATAACCAGAAAAGAACATGACAAAACGTACCTGATCTGTGACGTAACTTAGTTTCCTCTAAGACATCTGTAGTAGAATCAGGCTTTTCAACATTTAATAACTTTGGCAGTGAGGTAACAAGGTTCACTTTTGATTGTACAATGTACTCTACACACTTCTGACCTTCCAAACTAGCAATAAAACCACCGTCTCCAGGATTGACGACCGTCAAACTCATAACAGCTTCTGTGCCAGTGTCCAAACCACCGGATTTCTAAAACGAAAAAGAGAAATATTGCAGATAAATTACACGGATATAACCGCAAAGCAATCTAAATATTAAAATGTGTCATTGAAATCTCTCCCAGTGAACTAAGAAAAGAAAAGAAAACATTGACACTAACTTTAATGATAGGGGCCCCCAAATGGCCTGGTATGGCCGAGAGTGGGGGAGTCCGCTCACCCTCTCGAAATGCTCTCACATGGCCATGTGTAAATAGCCTCTGACAGGGAAGTCCTACTCACTGCCTTCTCGTGGCGGGGGTGTTGTTTACGAAAATGAGAGGACGAAAAGCGAATGTCCGGCGCTTTAACCAGGTTGGTGGACATGGAGAGTCCACCTAGGTGAGTTAGAAAACCCTGATTCCAAACCATTGGTGCACATGGGCCCCAGTATCCTGAGAGAACAAATGGCGTATGAACCAATCGTTGGTTTGACTAGACCTAGCTCCTCTCCAGACTACTACTACTAAGTGGCCAAAAGCAGGACGCCCTGACCATAATTCACTACTCAAAGAAATAACGACATGAATTTATTTTTAGTAGGTTTGTAGGAATAAAAACTGTTTCAGTAGAAGCTGTCTCAATGGTTTAAGCATTTTACAGAGGCAGCGGTTCAGTGATTTGGGCACTCGATTTGGAAACATTACGTCGGTTTTTCAAAACGTGTTCTGCTTACTAGTTTTAAAAGCCAGGTAAAAATATAATGGGCCCCTACATAAAGTTTTCTAAACCCGAATACACAAACATGTAATGGTTAAATCAGCTACGTTAATCGACCAAGTGGAGTACCATAAGGATCAGCACTGGACTCGTTTATCCATCATTGGATCTACAATGCTACACTATGCCAATAATCTTAAGACAAACAATTGATATACCCTCCGCCACAATATTGTAATCCATAAGTCTAAGCACTGTTATTAACAAAATTTATTAAAAATCCACTGTAAAACTTTTAGAGTAAGTGTTAGTGCGGACTATCCAGTCCTTCCAGCAGTGTGAAAAAACTAACCCAGAAAAATAACTTATGTAGGAACTTATGCTAGATAGGTATGTGCTGAGTACGTTTGCTTTCACATACATCATAAATCATGGCACCAAAGTCCCACTTTGTATTACACTGTAAAATCTTTAACGAACCTACGTTGCTTATGGCTGTCAGAAATCGTTATTGAATCTTTAGATTTGAAATTATGTATTTCGATGTTAGACGTTGTAAGAATTAGTGAATGCTAAGCACTCGAAGCCATACAAATAAACCGGGTATACACGAATGATTGCACGTTTTTAGGACATTGTCGATGTTCGAAGAGTGGACATCAAAATTAGGGAGAAGATAAAACACCTAGATTCACTATACATACATGATATTGAGTACGTGTTATTAAATTGCTCAACACAAAGATGAGCTACGAAATAAGCTTTCCAATAACTTATTGCATACCAGAAAAATAATAAAACGATAGGAATATTAATGACGAGGTCCCTGGTTTAGAAACCCTAGTAAATCAGGTGAAATCGGTCTAAAATATGCGACAGTACCTGCACATCAACGGGAGTGCGAGCATCAAGGCCATTTCGATAGATATTGATAATATCTATCCGATTAGGAACACCCGTTTTTACGGAGCCTCCCCCACCCGCTACAACCAAAGAGTTTCGATCCAGAACGTCAACAACGTATAATGGATAAGGAAATCCAAGGGCGCTAAAACCAGTCCTTTTATTTTCCATCAAATTGTTGCGCAACTCAATGGTCTTAATTCGGGATCTTCCTTGAAAATATAGGCACAGTAAACCTTGAGATTTTGCAGTCGTGTCACCAAGCGCAAACTACGCGCCGTTTGTAGAACTGTACGTAGGAATGAATGTTATGCTGTACTCTTCAAACCTCAATTACTCAGAAAGAAATACAGAAAAGTATATAAGAAACTTTTTAAAAGAACTAAGGTATATACTTAAACCTGGAAGGTAAGACATCGCTCCTTCACACTTCTCGAAACTACGATGAGTTTATTAGCAGTTTAGTCGGAGTCACAAACAGCGACAATTGACTCTTTAAATTATAGCTTTGATGTGTATTTAGCTGACAATTACCCCCAAAAATATGAGCACCTGCCCACTAAATATGCTCAAATAAGCTTCATAAAACATCAGCGCTAATTTCAAAAAGGGCAGTGATTTTTGTACTTGTTGTGATTACACTTGCTTTTGGTACTTATTGCACTAAAAAGCATTCTTGGTCTACTTTAACTAAGAGTTCTTTGGTTAAAGTTTGAAATTTTTTGCTACATTTTGTCCTGGGTACCTGTTTTTAGTCCTTGACTAAAACTTGTGTTCACATTGTTATCGTTTTTTGTTTTTAAACCTTTTAAATCGAATTACAATGGTTGGTAAGACTCACAAATGTGGGCAACCAAATTGTTTGTTCTCCGTTGAGGAGGGAATGCAGTGTGACGACTGTAAAAAGTGGTATCACAAAATGTGTACACGACTAAGTCCGACGGCTTACAAAAGATGCTCGAAGCCTAACTCGCATTGGCTTTGTGTGTTCTGCTGTACGGATAAAAAGGTACTAATACAGGAGGCTATGGGCCTATTGGCTTTGGCCTGCAAGAAAAACGATGGCGGAAGCACTGATAACAGGAGTACTGACGATGAAGAATGTGTCAGTGTAGTAAGTGCTGCTACTGGACCCATTAAACACCTGACTGCGGTTGACGGGATTGTGAAATCTCCGTTGACATTAACGAGAAATGAAGTGTCGCCTGATATTGACATCGGCAGTCATACACCTCTAGTCGAAATAGAAGATCAGGATAAAACTGTCACCGTTCCACATAGTCCAGGTGTGGCTGTTCTGAGTGGTGACAAATGGACTCCGGTAAGAAGAAAAAAAATAAGAAGAAAAAGGCTGTAGGCAAAACGCAGCTGGTCAGCAAGACATTGGAAGGGACTTTATCAGAAGAAAAATCCTCACCGCGTGAAAAGATAGATCTCTCTGAGAGATCAGTCATTTTTCATAAGATAAGAGAATCTTCAGACACTGAACCAAAGACAAGATTTGAACATGATCTCAATCATATTAAGACATCATTAAGTAAACTACTCCCAGATACAGTTTCAGGAGTTAGTATTTGTAAGCTTTATAGAATAGGAAAAAAGGTGGATTCCGAAAGTCCTCAGAAAAACCGCCTCCTAAAGGTTACATTCAACACGGTGGAAGAAAGGAACCTGGTTCTAAGTAATTCACGTAAACTGATTGGGTCCGGAATATATGTCCGTGAGGACCTCAGCCTAGCTGATCGTATTAAGAGAAGGGCTGCAGAAGCGGAAATAAACGAGCGTCGCCGAAACGGTGAAAGAAACCTCGTTCTTAAGGGTTTTCAGATTGTAAAAGTTCGGAGCAAAACGATCCCCAAGCCACTCTGGGTGGCAAGGGAAAGCTCTCCACAGACTTAAAAGTGTGCTACACAAATGCTCGCAGCCTACTAAATAAAATGGCGGAGCTGAAGTCAGTGGTGGATAAAGAAAAACCGGACGTTATCGCTGTCTCGGAAACTTGGTTAACGTCAGAAGTATTAGATAGTGAAATCCAATTGACTGGTTTCATAACCAGTAGGGCTGATAGATTAAACCGAAGGGGAGGCGGGGTTATTGTGTACACGAAAAGTACCCTAACCATAAGATTAGCTGAGACAGTAGCACATGTTTCAGGGACATGTGAACTGGTGAGATGTAAGTTGAAATGCCGAAGGCAAGATATTGAATTAGTTGTAGTTTATCGCAGTCCAGAATGTGTAGCAGACGATTTTCTCCTCAGTAAACTTAAGTCCTGGTGTAACAACGGTAAAAGCCTTGTAGTAGGCGACTTTAATGCACCATATATAAACTGGGTTAACTTAGAAGTAGAGTCATCTATATCGTCGTTCGACTCCAAACTGTTAGAAACCTCGATTGGACTAGCATTATTCCAACACATTAGAGATCCCACAAGATACGACTTAAGAAACTCTTCCTCTCTTTTAGATTTAGTCTTCACACACGGTGAGGACGTTGGTCAAACGGCTTTTCTCCCACCACTTGGGAGAAGTGACCATGCAGTCATCTTATTCAAATTCATGGCTGAAATTGCTTCTCAAACAATTGCGCCGGCCCGTCCTAACATATGGAAGGCAGATATGCAGGCAATTGACTCCGCAGCATCGGCTGAGAACTGGGAAATTGACTCAAAGGCATCAGTACAAGAGGCATGGACTCTATTCAGACAGTTATACAATCGGGTAACTCAACCATATATACCCTGGACTGTCCCAAAGAAAAAGAAGCACGGACATCCCTGGATAGGGCGGGATATTCGACGCTTACTAAGACAAAAGAAGAAATGCTGGGATGTTGCCATCCGCCTTGGCACAGCAGATACGATGGAACACTACAGATCGATAAGAAACGTGTGTATAACTAAAATTCGGGAAGCGCAAAGAAAATACGAAATGCAGCTGGCAGAATCTGCACTCAAGCAGCCCAAGAGGATATTCTCGTACATAAACTACAGAACAAGGACTCATCACTGGATTCCCAACCTAATTAAAGTAGGAAGTGAATCTGAAATGATAGAGGAAGATCAGGAAAAAGCTGAGATTATGGCTGACTACTTTGGGGCAGTTTTCACTCAGGAACCTCCTCTAGAGAAAGAACCAGACCCAATTACAGAGTCAACAAACCAGCTGCTCACCGTGGACTTCGACCAAAACGATGTGCTTAAGGCTCTTAGCACCCTAAACATGGAGAAGTCAACAGGACCAGATGAACTACACCCTAAAATCTTGAGACATATTGCCGAATATATCGCAGCCCCACTGACTGTGATATTCAAAATGTCACTTGACCAAGGTGTGTTACCTATGGACTGGAAGGACGCAATCGTCACTCCCATACATAAAACTGGTCTACGACAAGTTCCATCAAATTACAGACCCGTAAGCCTCACCAGTGTTGTAATTAAAATACTGGAAAGAATAATCAAACGGACCATAACAGCATTTATGGAAACCAATAACTTGCTGAACATGGCACAACATGGTTTTAGAAAGGGTCTATCCTGTACAACGAACCTCCTTATAGCTAGGGAGCTCTGGATTAATGCGCTAGACAACGGAAACTCAGTGGATGTTGTCTACATAGACTTCAGTAAGGCTTTTGACAAGGTGCCAACTAATAGACTGCTATTGAAGTTGGCAAACCTTGGTATTGCCGGACCTCTTTTAAAATGGATTAAGGATTTCCTAGTAGGTCGTAGGCAAAAAGTAAGAATAAATTCCAAGTGCTCCATCTGGAGACCAGTACTTAGTGGAGTACCCCAAGGTTCCGTCCTAGGTCCTTTACTTTTTATAATGTACGTTAATGATCTTACAAGTATAGTACAGTCTCCAATGTTATTATACGCTGACGATGTAAAAATTTGGCGAGTAATAACTGGAGACAAAGACGCATTTACTCTTCAGGCGGACTTAAATAATATGATAAACTGGTCTAAAGAGTGGCTAATGCCTATCAACTCGGAAAAGTGTGTCTACATGCACTTGGGGGATTCAAAGGTTAATACGTACAACATAGGAGATGTGTCATTACCCGTAGTCCGGTCTCATAAGGACCTAGGGGTGACAGTGAGCAATGATCTTAAGACGACGGCCCATTGCCGGGAGGTCGCAGTTAAGGGGTTTCGAACCCTCTGGGCTTTAAAAAGGACATTCACTAAGCTTGATACTACCATGTTCACCACATTATACACATCCTTAGTGAGAACTAAGTTAGAGAACTGTGTTCAGGCTGCAAGCCCCTGTTTAAAAGGTGACTCAGACATACTAGAAAAGGTACAGAGGGCAGCTACGCGTGCAATTCCGGAACTCCGGGGTTTATCATATAAAGAGCGGCTTGAAAAACTGAACCTCTTTACTCTGTCCTATCGCAGACTAAGGGGAGATCTAATATTGATGTACAGAATACTGAGAAATGATTTCGGACCTAACTTATTCTCTCTCTTTCTTCCCACTAGATCGGGACACCTCAGAGGACATAGTAGGCGAGTAGAAAAGCCAAGAACGAACAAAATACCCGTGGCATACAGGTTTTCACACCGAGTCATCAATACTTGGAACCTGCTGCCTGAAGCAGTGGTATCCGCACCTTCAATTGACTCTTTCAAGAGAAGACTGGACACTCACAGAAGCATACTAGAAAAGGAATAACATAGGCCGTAGGCCTTCTGTCCTTACTACACAAATCATAACAATTTGTTTTTGGGATCTACTTTCTAATTGTGGAGCTCTTAGTTGCGAAGTTCCATAAATCCCTTCTTGTTCCTTCTGAATATTCAGAATATTCGGTTTAAGGAGCGCATCTCATACGTGTGAGACATTTTTCAACGAGATGTGTTTTTTTCTATAGGGTACCTTGTAGTGGTTGGCGCCATGACAAGCCCACATAGGTTATTCTAACTTCTGGACAGACCAATCTACTCATTCTTCTCCAGCCAAACTAATCGATCAATTTGTCTTCAATCCGAAAGTTTATCCTGGTGTGCGGCCCCACTTAGACGAGGCAAAACCAGGGTTTCTAAGTTGTTAGGCCCCAAAGGCTGATCTTTTGGCAGAACATTGTTTTTAAGCATTTCAACCAACCTGCTGACTGCGGTGAACAGATGGACAATAATCTTTAGTCACTTAAGTAGAGTTGATATTTTTTGCATTAACTTCTCAGAAGCTATTGATAGGGTCAACTACATATGTCTCATCAGGAGGTTTAAACCATTAGGTATCAAGAGAATGGCTTACTTCATAACTAAACGATCGAGATTTTAGGGTAATCGTAACATTTCTTTGGGCCACAGAACATCCTAGTAGGGGCCCTTAGGGCTTAGAACTAGGACTTATTCTCTTCTTGATTTATATAAGCGACCCTCCTCAGCAACTGTATTCTGACAGTAATTTTCACTGACAATGTGTAGCTTACAGCCAAAATGATAAGATGGAACTTCAAGAGGATCTGAGTTGACTTCAAGGTTGGGAAGATAACAACGGACAGAGACATGTTGCAGACTACAACCACAACTTTGATGAGGACGAAAGAAAGTGAAGTTTTCAGTTTCCCGTCCTATACTTTAAAAGACAGTGGGACAGGATGCCACTATGGTGTCCTATCTAAACTTAAATCATACGACCCACTTTATTATGTGCAACAATGTCTCGTAAACCGGAGACAGTTTTTCAAAAGAAATTCAACAACGTTATCAAACATTTAGTGCTTTTTTTCAACCGATTATTGCCCGACAAATACGCAGCCTAGCCTAAGGGGCTGGATTACTGTCGATGTATTTAGTTGCCAAACATTTCAGACCCTCATTAAAAGGACGTGAGTTTACCATAATTACCGGTTATCAACCCTCACGTTATTTCTTCAATATATCGTACGATCGGCATTCGCCTAGAAGAGCTAGACAACTAAACGACAACTCCCATTTCTAAACCGACTCCCGGCTCATCAGGGGACACACCAGTATCATAGCAGATACCTTATCATGAAGAGAAAACAACACTCTAATATGACAAAAGGATATTAATCTTGAAAACATGGCTAATTAACAAGCATATGACACATACTGGAAAGAATCTTATCTAATATTCAAACATCTGTCATCTGCGATGTCTCTGATGGTAATAATCATCCTTCTATTCCCAAAATATTTCAACACCTTCATGAGTTAACGAATCCCGGTATCCAAACAGCTACAATTTTCATCACAGAGTGTTTTGTTTACCCACGAATTAATCCTGATGTGAGAAATTGGCGACCTAAGTATAATTTCAGCCTAGAAAGGTCTGACGTCAACCAAACAGCCAACTAAGCGAATTTCCGATACCTTATAGGCATTTAATACATAAACATTTTGACGTCTTCGGTCCCATTTCAACACTTAACTCTTATGCACGCACGTTTGCTGAAGATGAAAGATTGGGTGTGGCGTACCCAATAAGGAACATATCATCAGATTCAGCAGCCTCAATGTGTCTTGATAGCTGTACATCAAACTACGGAGTACTCCTACCCAGTTAAAGTTAAGGATAGGGATCTAGCATTTGAACTAACCTTCAGAGTTATTACTAATTCCAATCTTCGTTCGTTTGGAGTTAACTGTACTATACAAATATCACCGCCCATTATGTCAACTGTTAAATGTTCAGTACAGCATAATAACCCATTTAGTTACAAAAATTGGTGTTTTGCTAATCCAAGAACATTATTCTATTTTTCTGGGAATATCGTATTTTCAAAAAGTATTACTTAACTTCGTTATAGCAGCGTGTTTCCAGTTATGAAAGTGTGTCTCAATTCACAATCAAAACACAATCTCAATCTGTTCAAGTGAAACAATCTGAGAGGGAACAAATCGATATGGCAGCATTTATAATCAGGACAAAGTAAAACAACGTAGAAATAGGTAACGAGGATCTTAAAAAGTCAGTAGAAACGACTAAAAAACAAAGGCTATAATGAGAAATAAACTATAACCGTCTTATCTGGAATTAAAGGATCAAAGGAATGCATGTATGGAATCAAGAAGAGTAACTTCATCACAATTGATTGATCACTGGGTAGCGATCAATGTCATGCGTGTCTAGTCCTTATCAGTGCAGATCGAATGCTATCGATCATGTTGCAATGTGGCCACCAGTCTAAGTGACTCGACACTGCGGGCACTATATATTGAGATTAGATGGTAGTGGGAGGTAGTCGACAGGAAACCCTGAATGGCTCAGTGGTAACGTCTGACTGTGAAGCTGGGTGACACGCGATCGAATCCGCCAGGGAGCACCAGTTCCCTCAAGATTACAGGTACACCTTGCTGACGAGTCCCATGTAGCACGAAACCCGGGTCCAGGGTTTCCTGTTGACTACCTCCAACCACCATCTAAGAGTAACTTCATTTCAGAAAGCAAAACGAGTTACATCTAGGAGTTTGTACATGAAGGGATTCTCTCAAACATTCATTCGAAAAGTCCTAAAAGGCTCTTAAAGTTACATCGATACCAGTCTTGTAAGATACTCAGTGAACTGGAATTATCTTATCATACTCGATGTTAGATGCGTGCAGCACAAATGCTACAGTTTGTTAGCTGAAGCGGATTTCAAGTGGTATTATGCATTTCTATCGCATCTCCCCTAATCCACTCATAATATGTAAAGATGAGATGGGTAGAGTTTATCTTAGAGAAAGAGTATCATTCCTGCCGCTCTTCGTTAGACATTAGCTAAGAGAGCGATATCTCTCCTAAGGTAAGCGGACATCACTCAGAGGTTTTCAGATGAGAAATGAGTCAAACACTGCAAATGGTTCTCCTGTCCGACTGTTTTACACGGAAACCAGATAGCAGGCATTAGTTTCACAAAGCTACTAGGAAATAAAAGTGGTGTACTTGATATTTTCACCAGAACCAAACTTCTTAAGATGACCGAGAGCTAACGCTAAGTAAACCCTCCTTTCTCTTGTACCAAATATTGAGTCTTACTCCAGGTTTCAAACGATTCAAAATATATAGTCTGGAGAAAACGCCATCACGTTACCTAAAGACAAGAAGAGTATCTTACTCTTAAAGTCAGTTCAGAGGAACCAAAAACGATTTAAACTTAGAAATGAAACCCGCTCAGTTAGATGAACATAAACACGCGACAAGTGCAATACAGAAGGAATAGATGGATGCAATCATGGTCTAACATATCCTATGTAAACTCAACAGTCCCTTAATGCGCTTCGGTTGCAAATTACAGATAAGGTTAAAGTTGGAGAAGAAGGAACACCAGGTAGTGGAACACCATACCAGAAACTATAGTAGTGGAACTCTCTACAGAACCTTGTGAAAAGTTCTAACGCTCACTTTAGTCCCACAGACAGAGATTACTCGAAGTAATACTCCTCAATGACTCCACGTTAACTAGCATTTTTATTCTATAGATTCAGGAGTAGTGAATCTCTGTTATGCCATGTTGAACCCACGACCCGCGTGAAGTCACCAGTCGAAATCCTGGCCCTAAATTGCTACCAACACCCAATGATCTAATTTTCTTGGAGTTTATTAATTAACTAATGTAGAATAGTTATCATTCAGTGCATACATACTTCACTTTCTACTTGATTGTCATATGCATTTTAAAAAAATACTGGTGCTTATAGGCAATTTTCATTTACTGATAATAATTTTATATTCATTTATTTAAACACATAAACATTGGTACAAGGAGGCATCAAACAGATATGCGCTACATATATCATTCATTCGAATTGTGTGAGGGCTGGGATATTGCCCAGGTGCTCAAACCGAAGCAGATGGTTTTCTTAGAGGGCAACACCTCAAACCTTTCATCTAAAGGTCTAATCCACAAGACAGTGGAGCAACATAAGGATGCAGTCACATGGTAGCTCGTGATCAATAATTGGCTCATACGTCATTTGTTTCCTTAGGCTCTTGGTGCCCATGTACACCATTGGTTTGGAATTAGGGTTTTCCAACTTTTCCAGGTGGATCCTCCGTATCCACTAACTCGGTTAAAACACCGGACGTTTGCTATTCGTCCTCTCAATTTTGGAAACAACTGTAATGCCGAGACAAGTTAATGAATAGGACTGATAAGAATAAACAAGCAAAAGACTCTCAAAGTGATTTTACCTAACATAATATAATCATTTCGTACAAAGGTTTACAAAACATTCTTTAAAAAATGATGATTTTCATAAACAGAAAGTAATAATACATAAAATTTATATACAATTAATATATTGAAACATTATGTACACATTGTAGGAATATACAAATAATAATCATCAATAATAATTAAGAATTTATTGGAATCATACGATATTTATATTGTTTAGTACATTCAAATCCTATTGAATATAATTGATTACATTGAAACAAATTCTCAAATACATGATAACCATATTTACCTTGTGTACGATTCATTAAACATTTTAATAAGTTCAAATCTTCTATAAAATCCATTTCTAATGGTATAGATAAATTTTTATCATGTTTTTTATATTGTATTAATAGATCATTGATACATTGAATAAATTCATGATAAAATTCAATAGGTATATTATGTAAATGTTTCATAAGTAATGAATTTTCCGCTGTGATTGGTCCATGTCTAACTCGTCTAACTTTTGATAATAAAGTAGCTGTACGTAATTTTGGACCAAGATTAGCAACTAAATCAGTGAAAAACTTCAATGTTTCATGTGTAACTTGAATTTCTATTATTTTGTTGTTGTTGTTTTTTTTTGAAAAAGAAGAACATGTGGAGGAATTGTGTAAACAAAATACTAATTTAAGTAATGCATTATTGCTATACAGTTTAAGAAGAAAAAAGACCAAGTTAGTCTATGTCCGCCTCCCACCAAATCAAACGACTTCTATGAGCTTACAGAAAGTTTTTTTCTTCAGTTAAGAATATCAACTAATACCAAAATCAGTAAGTCTTTTTGTAAGTAGTAAGTTTATCAGCAACATTTTGAACTTTTCATTACAATACGACAAAACTGCTATGTTGAAATACGTATTCGGTAAAGTTAAACCTATGGAACTATTCTATATGAAGTTAATGTTTATATTTTTGTTATACAAACATTAAATACTAAAACTATTGTATTTTTGCATACTGAAACTTGTAAGATTTAGTTTGATGCATAATTGTTGTATTTTTTTGCGTTTTGATGTTATAGTTGTGTCTTTATGGGCCCCTAGAAATCACGTAAAATCATAGCACTGTGCCAAACCAATGATCTTCGACCGGTATGAGCAGCCTAGCGTCTCATTGGTCTTATGTTCGCTTAACCCGTCCACTTGAATCCAGAACACCAATACCAGCTTTCACTATGCAAATCATATGCGCACTGCTGAGGAGTCCCACAATAGGACGAAACGGCCGTCCAGTGCTTCCAGGTTTTCAATTGTGATGGTCTAACATCAATCACTTCATGATCTCAATCAAAAATATTTTAAATATACTGGGTTTATATTAATGAACTAATATTACTTAAATATTCTTATGGTATAAATATTCAGCAACTAGATTATGTATATATTCCCCCTGCCATAAGCTTTATTTTGATTTATATTTTATTATTGTACGATTTACTGTTCTTAAGCTATGTTCAGTTTACTGACTACTGCCTCCCACGTTCACAGCCACTTTTTGGCTTTATTGTGTATGAATGTTATTTCCTATTTTATAATGTGTTGCGGTTTGTTTGGTTGATATATAAACCCAGTATGTCTGAAATAAATGATTCGATTCGCATATTGGAAGCTGGTATTTGTGTTCTGGACTCAAGTGGACGGGTTAGGCGAACATAGGACCAATAAGGACGCTAGGCTGCTCATACCGGTCGAAGATCATTGGTTTGGCACAGTGCTAAGATTTTATAAGTCGTATTTTGAAAGGTGGATAAACCACGTGATAACTAGCCGGACATAAAGTCACAACACTTTGGATCAATGGGCCTCAACACACACAAGGGGAAAACCAAGATCCTGAAATATAATACGAAGAATAGCGACCCCACCACACCTAATCAGGAAACTCTGCAGGATGTTGAAATTTTCACGCACCTGGACAGTATCATCGATGAACAATGAAGACCCGATGCAGACGTAAAGGCGAGGATTGACAATATAAGGGCAGCATTCCTACAGTTGAAAAACATACGGAACTAGAAATAACCATCAACCAATATCAAAGTCCCATTGTTCAATGCGAACATTAGGACGATTCTACTGTAGGGAGCTGAAAATTGGAGAACTACTACAACCATCATCAAAGAGGCACAGGCATTTATAAACAATTGTCTTCACAAGATACTCAATGTCGATTGTTGACCGGGCACCATCAGCAGTAGCCAACTGTGTGAGAGAATATACCAACTCCCAGCTGAAGAGGAAACTAGGGAAAGATGGTGGAGGTGGATAGAACATGCATTGTGGAAATCACTAAACTGCATCAAGAGACGAGCCCTAACTTGGAATCCTGAAAGGAAACTGAAAAGAGGAATGGCAAAGAACACACTGAGTCAAGAATCGGAAGCAGACATCAAAAGGATAAATAGTAACTGGAAATAATTGTCTAAAACAGAGTTTGATGGAGAATGCTGATCGGTGGCCTATGCTCCTTCATGAGGGGTGACAGGCGTAGGTAAGTGAGCTGGATACATATGAAATATGAAGTAAGTCACAGGAATCATATATATTTTAATAGTATAACAGGGATATTGAGAACAAGAGTGAAAGAATGAGCAGAAACGTTTAGGCACTAAACTGGTGGGTACAGACATTTACATAGTACATTCGAATAACTGATTTGAAGCCTAATAATGAAAACAAAATCTAAGATTCTGAAGAAATAGAACATATTTGAGCTAATAGTAATCATAACCAAAAGTGAAAAACCAACTCCTGACATTCCACTGTACCTACCAAATGTTCATAACCAATGAAAGTATACGAAAAAATCTGATTCATTTTAATAACTAAGGAGAATAACATTTTACAAAAACTATAGAATAAATATCTTAGCACTTTGTAAAACCCAAAAACTTCTGCAGATTAAATAAAAATCAACATACCAATTGTAAAAAACGGAGGATCAAAATCCACACAACAAATCGCATTTACATAAGGTGCCATTCGCCTTCTTTCTTCTTCCCACTCATACTTACGATCAGGTAGTGTTTCGGGATTTCGATTTTCATCTGGCATTGGACGTTCCCATGGTGAAAGTAACTGTTCCTCTCCTTCATAATCTTCTACGCCGTGTGTGGGTTTTACCGGACGAAGATCACTGCCAGCTCTACGACCACACAGTGCTAGATATGCGTTTTGTGAATTAGGACGAAGTCCTGCTTGTAATAATCCAGAAGCATTGAATTGAGTTTGTAGTCCAACAAGAACCTGATCTATTTTGCATTTTTGAACATGTCCTGATACAAAAGAAAAACCATTAAATGGTTGAAATCATACACATTCACATTTACGGAACGGGCACTAACAAACTAATATTTAGTTGATTAAGTTGTGAATAAGGTGGGCATGTTGCCATTTAGATTAATGACTTGAAACTCCATAGTTCATATTTATAACTGCGATACAGTGCGATTAACTCTAGTGGCTTTAAGTGTTATAACTGAGCAGAAACTAATACAGCGCAACGTAAGGCAGAAGACTAAGACAACGGAAAATTTATGCACTAAAAATATATCTGAATTCACATTTTGCTGATATTAGTCAACATAGAAATTTGAATTAATTGAACTGGGCAGTCCTAGACGTTTAGATCAATAACAATGTATGAACACAATTTTCAATACCACAGGATTGAAATGTTAGAACTAACAAGTGTAACTAATTTACTGGGTTATGTGATTACTTCTTCCTCACACAACTTACCAGCTGATTTCAATCCGTAATGAGAACCAATTTTATAACAGAAACTAATGGTCAATAAATGTAGGTTACATAAAATGACTAAATATTACCAATTTTGTAATATAACAGTCACCTTTTTTTCTTTTTATAGGCTAAGAACATGTTTCCCGTTTGAAAACAGGAAAACAATATACACCATGGCATGTACGAATAATAGTTGTGAGGTTCTCAAAAGTATAGCGGTTAATTGATATATTGGGAATGAATTCGATTGATTATGTGCTGGACACTGGACTATCCGATAATAGACACTCGGTACACAGATCGGCATAAATTAACTCTAGACTGGTCACTCGATGAGTTGATCGATAGAAAGATCACAATACTTAATCATGTGATGCACTCTACTCAATTATCTGACAACCGATTGAAAACCAGATAAAACCACACGATAGTTCACAGACACAAAGTTACGAGCAGTTAGTAAGCGGAACACAAGTGAAATCAGTCTTACATAAACTCATGGCTAATATAGCTAGATATGTCAGTCTTCGTTCACTAGGTAGTCATGGCTTACTTTAACCTACGCATCATCAACGCATGCGCTATGTATTACGTTTTAAAATGAAAGTGTTCGCATGATATTATTTAAATTTCGGTTGGATTACTCATAAACTGTTATATATCACCTAGACCGAGTTAATCCTTCTAGGCCATGTAGATAAGAAAACCTTCTGGTTAGTCATACAATGTATACAGAGATCTCAGTCAGTCAGCTACAACGTAGGACCAGGCACATATATGCATCGGTTCAAGTTGCCAGAGATCTAGTCTTGCATACATGTATGTACGTGAATAGATTTTCGGCTTTATGTACTTTTCACCCGAAATTCGATCACAATGCTACTAGATCACCTTTTTTACATACTTTTGAGCTATACTGAAAGAGATTTTGCCGAAAAGGCAGATTTCGCAATCATATTAGTCACGCTTAATAATAAATGGTAACTGTGTCGAACTGACCCATTAACTCAACAATACACAAACACTATGTAATTTAAAGTGAGTGACCACATTAAGTAAATAATTAAGAAGTGAGACCGCAGGAACAAAGTGTTCAGGATTCAGCGAAACATAAAAACGAAAGTATTTATGCTATTGCGACCTGTCTGAAATAGTCTAACAAAGGTCTATTTTTCAATGGCCAACTCCAGGAAAAACAACCACAGATAGATGAGATTCCAAACAAAATTAAGAATTTATTCTTAAATATCATTTAAGAGTTATCACTCACTCCATGAAGCTCTTAGTAATGTTGTACTATTGGCTGTTCCATCAGTTGATGCACGTCCCATCATGCATGTTAAGTGATAGGTTTTAAGCCAAGAAGATTGTTCGAACTTATCAGCATAATTGTAAATACCATCTTCTCCAATACCATAGACTATTAAATAAACAAACATAAATAAACACAAAACTCACCTTGCACACCAGACATAAAATCACTAAGGGGATCAATAGGATATAACATAACATCTCCTGGAAGAAAACGTTTACCCAATACTTGAATTAGATAAATAAATAAATGAAATACATTACTCAAGTACCAAGATCACTATCAACAATATCAGGTTCTGTAATTATTTTTGGTAGAGTACAGTTGACATCACCGGATGTCTGAATGATCGTTCTGATCGACTGTTTCTCAGCTGGAAGTGAATTAAAAGCTATTAGGAAAGAAAACAATTGATTTTATATAAAGTGACAAACCATCTGCCAAAGAGCATTTCACATTTCTGGTTAATTTTTCAACATTCAACCCAGGTGATTTATAAACGCATAATATTCCGTTCAGTAGATTGAACAGTTGAATACGTCCTGGATTGTACATAACCTTATTCATCTAGAACGAGTGGTTTTTAAATTAAAAGTTAAAACGGTCAAGAAATAATCACTTTAAGAGTAAACTATACTTAATAACCTCACACAACGAAAAGAAATGCTTAAGTAGCAGTGTTATAAGTTGTTTAAGGTATCCATACTTTTGTTGCTCAAGAAATATGATGAAAATATCTGGTACCTTGGATTTTTTTTATCAGAACACAATACTAAAATAGAAACACTATTGATCCACAAAACTATAGAAACTATGACTGGCTCACTTGAGACGACAGAAAGAGAAATACACTCACACGTAGAAGTATGGATGATGACCAGAACGAAAATGAAGACTTAGTAACAGTCACCAAGCTCAGATACCATAACACAATCAAAAGCATCCATCCGAACTACAAATCTTTCTCATCGTTGCAGTGTCCAATCATGTTAGTTTCATCTTTCTGTAGATTTTCCATTATGTTGATGTCATGGGTGAAGTCTGATCCAGTGTTAATACGTACTAATTCAGAGAGCTCATAGAATGCCCTTAGTATGTGGTGAAAATAATCTGATGATTAGGACTAGAAGTTGACAAAATGAAACCCCGAACGCCTGACACTGTAGTGGTTCAGGTCTAACCAGAGGTACATTGTGTACTCCCAAGCTCCCAACTTTGGGGATTTCCCCAAGTCTGGGGAAATTTTGGGGTTTTTGTCCCATTTCCCCAAGATTTACTATAGCGGCTTCTCCAAAATTTCCCCAAAATGTACCAAATTTTCCCCCAAAATTGGCAGCTTGGGATAGAATGAAGAGATGTGGAAAAGAGGAAAAAAGTGAGCCGACTACTCATTAAGCGTTAACAACGCACTTACATTTATAAAGGAAAGTAATAGACAGCAATAACACAAGCCTTAAATTAAGAAAAACTTGGGATCGTATCTCCTAGTAGGTAACCAACCCTGTTGAAAAAAACGGCGCTTCAAGGGTATCGTCCACTGATGGAGGTTGCGAGCACTTGAAGGTCAAGCTCAAATGGTTCAAATGGTTCAAATGGTTGTGGACGGAATAGAAGAAGCTTTCGCTTAACAGGCTTCCGTGTCTAGTAGCAGGGGATCACCAAATCCTCCAGGCAGGAAACTAGGTATGTTAACGATAAAAAAGGAAAAGAAATTGGTAAATCATAGTGTGATGCTGTCCTTGGTCCTTAAGAATAGGTCAAGTTGCCTCTTGAAGGACTCCTGAGAAGTCGCTTGGACTAGCTCGGCCGGCAGCGAATTCCAGCTTTTGACAACTCTTAAGGAGTAGAAGTTGTGTCTACATTCCGTCTTGCTATGTTGTGTTTCCAGTTTCTGGGTGTTACCCCTTAGGTTATTATTCGAACTAAGCTTAAGTAGGTGTTTAAGAGGATGTCCAGAAGTGTTAAGAATGCTATAAGCCATTAGTAAATCACCTCTAAGACGCCTATATTCTAGTGGGTAAAGGTCTAGTGAACGGAGGCGTTCTTCGTAAGGCTTAGATTTGAGTCCTCGAACTGATTTCGTGGCTCGCCGTTGGATACGCTCCAAAGTGACTTTGTCCTTATGGAGTGAGGGGGGAGTACTATGTTTCCGTACTCTAAATGGGGACGGATGAAACTATTGAAGATTGTGTGGAAAGTTCTTCCGTCAAACTGGCCAAAAATGCGCCTCAACGTTACCAGTGCAAGGTTTGCTCGGAAGGCATTTTTGTCACAGTTAGCGTAAGACTTTAAGTCATGGGGCACCAGGACTCCTAAATCTTTTTCGACTTGGGATACTACTAGAGAGGAGTTTCCTAAGTTGCAACTGTAGTTTGCAACATGTCGCAGATGGACTACTTTACACTTTGAAGTGTTAAATGTAAGTCCGTTATCGTCTGCCCAACTTTGAAGTCGCGCCAGATCCTCCTGAAGTGCCTGTGTATCGTCTTGGTTGCGTATCTCTCTCCAAAGTTTCACGTCGTCGGCAAAAAGTAGTAAGTCTGACGTTACCTGTTGAGGAAGATCATTTATGTAGATCAAGAAGAGAAGAGGCCCTAGTACTGAGCCCTGGGGAATCCCACTAGGACATTCCATAGCCTGAGATAAAGTGGAATTAACCCTAACCTTAAAGTGTCGATTTTTTAGGTATGAAGTAAGCCAATCGATTAGAGGTGGTTTGATACCTAGTCGTTTGAGCTTATTGATAAGACATGTATGGTTAACCTTATCAAAAGGTTTTGAGAAATCAAGGTAAATGACGTCAACCTTTCCCTTGCAATCGAGGATGCTTGTCCATTTGTCCACCGCAGTCAGCAGGTTGGTTATACAAGAGTAACCCTTCCTGAAACCATGCTGTTGGGGTGAGAAGAAATTTAAGGACAGTAGATAGTCATTTAAACCGTCGCATATCAGGGACTCCATGAGTTTTGAAGGTAATGACAGAAGAGCCACCGGCCGATAACTTGAAGGTTCATTGCGTCGTCCTCCTTTGAAAATTGGTGTGATGTGAGCCAACTTCCAATTTTCCGGTAATTTGCCTCGGCTAAGCGAGTGTGAAAACATCACGCTAAGCGGCGTTGCCAGGATTGAGGCTGCCTCCCTCAGTATGGTAGGATGAACCATATCCGGGCCAGGAGAAGTGTCAAGTCTTAAGTGCTGCAATTTCCGGAACACCAAGTCAGCGCTTAGGTCCACTTCAGAAAGTCCTGTGGAGTTGGAGATGAAACTGTCGTCAATAAAGTTGATGTCAGCCGGTTGAAATGTTTGAGAGTAATGGGCCGCCAGAAGGTTAGCGGCGTCGCCATCGTTGTTGGTTGGGCCGTTAAGACCTAGCAGTTGAGAAACTCCTGTTTTGGCTTGACGAAGAGAGGCTGCATAACGGAATAGGCTTCTAGGGTTAGAGGCGAATTTGTCCATAAGCTTTGTTTGGTACTGAAGCCTGTCTTCTCTTATAGCCTTCGTGCATGTGTTCCTGATATGTTTGTATTGCCTATACGCTCCATCGTTATTAGTTCGTTTGTATTCCGCCCAACAGTGCCGTTTGCGGCTTAGGAGGTGAAGGGTACGGTTCTTGATTACTGTAGGTGGCTTGAAGCTTTTGGGAACCGTTTGAGGAACTGAATGGTCTGTAGCACATAAGAGCGTGTGCAGTAAGAAGTATCAATGACCATCCACATCGAGTTGAGGGTGAACATCCCAAACCACCTGTTGTAGATAATCATGTAGAGCTGGCACATTCAGCCGTTTAAAATTCCAACGCAAATTACTGTTGGGATACCTCAGCTTAGTTTTGATGACAAAACTGAAGGCTATGACGGCATGATCGCTTTTTCCCAGAGGAGCCAGGATTGAGAGGTTGTCAACTAGGAATTCTTCGTTAGTGAATACACAGTCTAAGCGCGATGGTGTCTGACTGTTTCTCCAACGAGTTGCCGACCTCACATTTTCATATAAGCCCAAGTCATCGATGAGGTTGAAGAACCGAGCTTCAATTGAGTTGTCGCCTCCAGTGTACGTGTGTTCCGCGAAGTTGACTCTAGGGAGATTAAAGTCCCCTAGAATCAGGATGTGTGTGAAACCGAGACGGGTGGAGCGGGATGGTTCTTCCAGCATACGACTATCGTACTCGATGTCGGCAGTTGGCTTCCTGTAAATGACTCCGACTAGACACCTCGAAGTACTGGACAATCTTACAGAGCACCATATGGATTCCTCAAGATTGTTAAACTCGAGGTTGTGAACTTGGTGCACCTCCAAGCAAGAGCTTATGTATATGGTTACTCCGCCCCCAATTCCTGTTTTTCTGTCGTTGTGGAATAAAGTCATCCCAGGTAATGCTAACTCTTGGTCCGAGAACTGAGAGGATATCTAGGTTTCAGATATTCCTATCAGATGGGCCTTATTGGAATTGCTAAGTTCAAGTAATTCATCCAGTTTGTTTGGTAGACTCGCGGCGTTCATATATAAGCAGTTTATGCTTTCTATTTGGAACGCGTGAGCTTCGTCCTGTTTTTCTGTATGAACCTTATGTGAATGGACAGGTAGCCCACCTATGTGAGGTTTGCCGAGGTGGTAGGCCCTGTCCTTTACACGTTTTTTTTATCGTTTAGACAGTCCACAAGTGGAATGGTCAGCTCCAACTTGTCTTTGTTCTTGGTCCTAACTTCGTATGGCCTATCCGGGTGCATGTGGATTCCAGGTGGCAATCGACGTCTATTAGCACGAAATGCTTCCAGAACTGCAGCCGCCATGTGGGAAGATGGGAAGGTTATCTTCATTAGACGGGGTCTAAGATCACCGTCCTTCTTGGCTAGTCTCGTCACATGCTGAGTCAGTATGTGTTTGAGCCTCAAGGACTGTTTGATGAATTTCCATTCCCTGATGTCAGAATTTGATTGAGTAGGGTCTGCATTTTCCGGTATACCTGGCACAATTATGTTTCTTCCGCGGAAAAACTTCTCGTGAGATTCTTTAGGGACGTTTCGTATGATACTGCGCTCAGAGTACGGTATGTCGGGCAGTATTCTTACGTTACCATCTGATTTCAGCAATTGGCTTGCTAGCAAGACGTCCTCTACGTCGGTAGCAGCCTTAAGTGTTACTCGGAGAAGCCTCGGGTGATTTAGATGCTTAGAATCCTTTCCTCGAGTGAGCCGAGTGACCGTCAAAGGCTCTATTCTAGGAAATTCGAGCTTCTTGTTCAATTCACCCCAGAGCATCCTGTCGTTTTTGTCCTGCAGACTAAGAGGAAGATCAGGATTGTCAACGAGGTTCATGATAATGAGAGAATCGTCACGAACTGTTGTTAATTTACCAGGTTTCACAATGGGTTCAGGTTTAGTAACTTGTTGTTTGGAGGTCAGTGTGCGTTTATGAATCATGGGCTCTTTATTGACCGGACGAACAGTCTTGGGGGTAGACTGTGCGACTAAATTACCAGTTATTTTCCGTGCAGCAACACTTGGGTTGCTCGGCTTAGGCGGTGATGCCTGGTTCTTTTGGGCTCTCTTAACGTGGGTCGAATCACATGCAGGGTTTTTGGCAACCACTGTTGTGTTCGGGAACCCTGAGCTGGGAGACCCGAGTTTGCCTAGGGAGTTCAGTACCGTCGACGTAATGATGGTACTGAGCCTCGACACGTCGTCGTTAGTGTGGATGGATGCTCCATCGATGGAATACCTATCGACATCCCTGTTTTTGAGTCCGTTGCACGCTCTTGTTTGTATATCAGTTTTTTTACTATCGTTTTCCAAGTTAACTGACAACTTGTTCCGAAGACATGTCAGTAGGACAATGATGTTACTCAGCAAGACTACGGAGTCTGTGTTGCACGTGACGCACACCCACTTTTGCTCTGACTTGCTGAGTCTGTTGTTAGCAGTTGCTGTCAGATCTGTGCATGCTTCGTGGAACCAACCTTTGCAGTTGTCGCACTGCATGCCAGTTGTGACAGCAAAACGGCATCCCGGACGTTTGCATGAGTTTTTCATGACGGTGTTGAAGCAAATTATGTTATAGATGCTTGCAAGAGCCTAAGACCTTTTTAAAAAAAACACTAAAAAGCACACTGAAAACGGACAAAAATGGACAAAACGAGTGATATAAACTGAAACTAGTCTATACGTGAAAAACAAAAAAACCGAATAGTAAGCTGAGGCAAAACCACAGGTAACTATTAAATATAGTGAAACTCAAAAAAAAGTAATCTACCGAACGTATAGCTCAGGATAGATTCTTTAGAACTGAAATGGTACTTTTGTTGCGTAAGAACACAGCAAAAGTTTGATAAATGCAAATCACGTTAGGACTAAACTTCCCGTTCGAAAAGCGCTGTTGTAAAACGATTGGTGCGTCACTTCGACAGTTTGTGAAGTTTTGCAGGAGCGGCCAAATCAATACATTTTTAGATTTGGATTGAGTTCAGCCACAATGTGTCTGATGACGTCCATCCTTCAAGTAACGAAAACGATGCCATCGTGATGATGCATGATATCAGTCTCCCCTCGTTGAGTGAAATTCATTACCTT